CGGCTGGCTGAGTATCATTTGTCCTAACCGATTAACTCATTATTTGCAAACCCGAGGTGCAGTCAGTTCCTTTCGAAGGGAACATTTCGGTTTTAAGAGGATTACATACAACATAAAGTTTGTTACGGAAGTATTTCAGTGAAACCTGGGCAAGGAGGTAGTTATAAATCATGTCACTGTGTATACTAAGAGCGCGTACGTGCCTACTTTTCTATCAGTGGGGGAAATGGACAGTACAAAGAACAATGGGCGATTGCCAGGAGGATGAGGACTTCATGGTTTAACTTTGATAGAAGTTAGCTGAACATTTATCTGAACACCCCAGGAGTTCCCCTCTCGATGATTACCGGCACAATCTTCGGTTTACTATAGAAACAGTAGTAAAGACGGTTGTGAGTGTGAATCTCGGTGTTAGCGAAAGGAGTGGGACTTCTGCAACTTCATCCGAACTGACTGATACCAGAGGACTCACTTCCATTGGCTGCAACTAAAATGGAGAACCAAATTAGACCAAACGAGAAGTGACCAACGGCCGCTGGTCATGATGGGCAGCAAAAGTAAAGAGTGAGAAAGGCATCAGTAATAGATAATACCTGGTAGTTTCTAAGAATTGGTTAGGATAATGGCACGAAGATGATAGTTCTTGGGGCCGACACCTGAAAGAATGGGTCACCAATAATCTCCCAGGACGAGCGACTGTGACTCTGACCAGAAATGTTTGAAGACAATTTTAGTGAACCTGGGGCCACGCTTGAGTCACCAGCATCCACCCCTAACCTGAATGGGGCGTAAACGCCAACCCAATAACTTTCCTTGAGACTGGAAGGGCGGTTTCAAACCTGAAACGGTACGAAAGCGCAGAAACTGGTGGCTCGTAACAAAAAGGTTGGAAAACCGGGGTCGTGAGCTACCCAGCTGAGCAAGGGAGGTACAAAGTAGCGCTTGAGAATGATTGGTTATTTAAGACTAACTTAGTAGTTAATTGTTGACGTCTATAATTAGGGCCAGGAATATTACCGAGACCAATGCGCGAAAAACCATTCTGATCAACGCGACGTTTAAGATCCTAGTTTACGTAATTCCTCGACATGTAACAGATGCTTGAAGACAGCAAACCCAATGAAACTAGGGTGCATCGATGAAATCCCAGTCGTTCGACGGGTTTCGGAATGCAGGTCAGCTCATCGGCACTAAAGCCTGAAACTCGAAATCTCACTCCTTGAGACGTGATTTGAGTGTGGTTGAGATCCGCATTGTGCCAGTAAGGTGTCAGCTGACACTCCGAGTCTGGTATCATGCAACACCCGCTTCGAGGCTAGGAGGCGAGGTGGCTGAATGTTCTTGCTGCTTTGCTGATATAAAAACTCACACTAGGCTGAACAGGTGGCCTACTGTTATTCGCCTGGCGCTCTGGCTTTTCCCAGCTAACGCCGCCTCTATTGAGGGGGGAGGAAGTATAGCCCTGCTTTCAAGTAATCGGAGTCCGTAATAAATCGCGAAGTTAAAGTGAATTTTACATTTTTCTAATCGTAACAGAAATGGATGGTGGAGACTCAAAGGAACTATCTTTATCTGCGAGGCGACCAAGTGTGTTTGAGGTCTCTGAACGTACAATAGTATTCCACAACAAATGTAGTCACTGTAAAGGACGCCGGTTACCCGACGACAAGTGTCACAGCCTCTAACTTGTTCCCGTCATCCGTTACACCACAGTCATCAAAATGAATGTGGGCTAAAGATGAGAAACGATGATAACACATGACACAGGCACATAAGTGGCGGAATGAAAGGCAATGCACGGCATCAAAATGGTCTGACGATATGAAAACGAGATGGAGGATTTGGCGGTAGAGGCATAAAAAAACCACGCCTACCTGAGGGGCAGATACGTGTAGCAGAGGTTCTGGGGCTTACGTTGGTGATAACCAAGCCTGTAGATGATGCCAAATATTTGTGGACAGTGTTGCACTCCAAAAATCTTCTTCGACTTCTAGTTTTCGGCCCTAACAAAACCTTGGTGCTGGATGGAAAATAAAGACCACCCATCCGTCACACTATGAGCCTTTTAGACTGCATGCACTACAATATCCTCCTACTAGAGATAACGATAAACACCTTCCCTCTTCTCTTTCCGCAGACCAAAATATGCCGATAAAGATTTTCAAATTCAATACAAAGCTATTATCTTTAGTTATTTATAAGACAGTCCAAATTCCAATATAAGAAGAGTATCACCACAAGTGCAATGCAAAACTCCGTGGCCACATATTCCCTGTGTCTTCAGCTCATGTCGTTGGAGTACAAACAGTTTACTAAAATCTCTGGGGTACTAACGCCATCACTCATGCCATCGAAAGATCGCACGAAACACACAATCTGCATCGATAAAAGCTTTGCATTTCCTATTGACATCTTTGAAATATCATTTTCCAACACCAAGAAATGCGTCGCTCAGAGGAGAAATCATACCTGGGTACAAGCAACTGAGCCAACAGGACTGAAAATGGGGATAGAACAAACTCATAAAAGAAACCATACCGCTAGATGTAAGGAATAAGTAGCATATATGCCAAGCGCATTCTATTATGTCTGCAAATCCCTGGGAAGCTGTCTGAAAATGCACAAAATAATCAGTATGCATGTGGTTATGGCCAAGAGTTAGAAATCGCGCCATGCCAGAAAAAAAGCATACAATCACGCAGGCTAACCTATAGAGAAAAGATATTGATATTATCAATAATAATATCTACAATAAAAAGGGGATTCAGTGGCTATATCAAGCCAAGAAGGTAGCAAACAGCCAACTCGCTCATGACTGTTCGCTTCAAGGACGACCTAACTACACAGTTCATTTTAAATGTACCGAGGTGCCAAACAACAGTCACCTTCACGTGCAGATACAAGAGGTTACCTTGATGTGAGACTTGATTCCTAGCTGCAACGGGTCCATTCATGCGTACGTGGACTGTAAGCCGAAAAACAACTTCAGTAAACAAATGAATGATTATTTGAAACCTACTAGAAAAAATGCGGGGCAGTACGTGGCACTTACCTGAGTCGCTACACCATGACCAATGTTATCCAGAATGGAAAAGTTAATTGGCTGGCGTATGTACTTTTGAGGAGGTTCAGGAACCACCGCTTCATGTTGATAGACGACCGGTACCCTTGAAACTGTGCAGGACCCAACAGCCTTACGTGCAACTTTTTCCTGATATATATTGCATACCTTCAACAATAATAAGATTGCTAGCGACTAACCATTTTTAGTTTGGAAATTTTGTCCGTCAGATTACCGATCTTCTTTCTTTCCCCATTTGCAAAAACAGCTCCATGTCGACATCTGATACTCAAATTCGGTCTAAACACAATTACTTTGTGGAAACAGTACCTGCTCATTGACGCCAATAATTATTGAACCCCTCCCACTCTATCACGAATTCCGAACCATCATCACGTTTAACTGACTTATTGGTCGCGATTTTTTGTTTGCGACGAACCGATTAAACTTTCCCAACAGTATTAGCAGCAGAGACACTCTGAACAGATGACTTAACCAGCCACCAATTTACCTATTGGCTCGGAATGTGACTTACCTGCAGTAGCTCCACACCACATATTTTCCGGTGCCCTCTATCAAGTGATCTTTTCGTACTAAAGTTAGTTTACAGCAAGTACACCTCTTGAATAATGCTGCTTACGCTGATAAAAAAGGTACCCGAAGTCTGTACAAATACTGTCATTTGGACTATTGACCATTCAAACGTCTAAATCAATCCAACACAACAAATATTCTTAATGGAATTGATTTCTATTACCTTTAAATGCAACATGTTGGCCTGGAAATGCACTGATGTAGCCATACACGTTGGTTACTTAACTGTGGATACTTTGTTGATACTCCAGATCATATAAATGGGTCCATTGTGGTTGGCAAAGCTGAAAACTGAAGATCATCCTAAGTAATAAACTGTTATATCACTAATTAGCAAACTATGCGAATGGACTAACTACATCGGTTGATTATAACTCAAACTTTGAACACTGAGCGCTTTTGATATTGTCAGTGGGACCCATCTGTGAGATGGGAGATGAAAATCTATATCCGTCTCATGAATTTCAGCGAATTTCAATAAGATTATGCCCACTAATGACCTGATACGTAAATTATTTAATACTAGACACCAGTTCATAAACTTTCAAAAATTATGAATTTGACCGTGCTTGTAAACTGGTATCTCCCACGTTAAACCCGTTAAATGAAGACAACATTTATTATTATCCAAACTTTAACACTGTATACGTTGTAAAGTAATATTTCTCTGTTCGTTTTCCAACTAGCAGGACCTTCGTCAGTTTTTAATTGAGTTTAATGACATTCCGTCAGTACCACTCAGGGCTCAAGTCTTGTAGATATTTTGAGATGTATTAACGTGATGAAGCCTGCAAACCGGCTCTCCTCACGTCAAACTTTTTAATGCAAGAGTAAAACATTTATTTATTTATAATCTGGTATGACTCGTAATCAAGAGCCTCAAAGAAGCTGCTGGCGAGGCTATTGATCTAGCTGGCTACTGCACATATTGATTGAGTAGCTAACTCCAAAATTTAATCTGGCATATTACCTCCAGGACCTGCTTAGTACAGTTTTTGTTGAGCGAAACTCTTACCAGATATTTTTCCAAACAAGATGAAGCAGTCTGCCATACCTGCTACACGTCATTTTGAAGTGCTCTAAAGTCTGCGTACCGCTACAATACACACCGGGAACGTCCCGTATACCTTCCCCCCATCCTACTGCCCCCATTCAGGCACACATTCGGACAGGAATCACGAATGACCCTTCTTCTTCCTATCAACCCGTAGCTTCTCAACCATCTCGAACTATAAGTTTGAAACAAAAACCGACAAAAAATTCATCTCTCCAGAACTGAAAGTAGAAGAGTCAAGGAAACTTCATCATTCACTACACGCGTAAAACCAAACAACAAGAACGAAGCCATAAGAATAAGACACAAGAGAGTAAAAACTACCATTGGTCTTTAATAGCACCATTGGGTGTTTAAACTTGTGTCTCTCTAGGTCATTGGCGGAGGGCATCTGAGGTACTTTTGGCTCTGCCGATGATATTTGGTTACTGCTCTTACCTCGGCTATGAGGCATATCGAAAACAGGCTAGCAGATGCTAAAAGCAGACTGTTAGCTACAGGCTCTAACATAGAAAGGGCTGCTGCATTTTGTTCGGAAAAATACTTGGTAAGAGTTTCGTTCAACAAAAACTGTACTAGGTAAATCCTGGAGGCAATACGCTCGATGAAAGCTTGGAGTTAGCTACTCAGTCAATATGTGCAGTAGCTCGTGAGATCAATAGCTTCGCCAGCAGCTTCTTTGAGGCTCTTGATTACGAGTCATGCCAGATTGGTAATCTGTCGGACAAAATTTCCAAACTAAAAATGGTTAGTCGCTAGCAATCTTATTATTGTTGAAGGTATGCAATATATATCAGGAAAAAGTTGCACGTAAGGCTGTTGGGTCCTGCACAGTTTCAAGGGTACCGGTCGTCTATCAACATGAAGCGGTGGTTCCTGAACCTCCTCAAAAGTACATACGCCAGCCAATTAACTTTTCCATTCTGGATAACATTGGTCATGGTGTAGCGACTCAGGTAAGTGCCACGTACTGCCCCGCATTTTTTCTAGTAGGTTTCAAATAATCATTCATTTGTTTACTGAAGTTGTTTTTCGGCTTACAGTCCACGTACGCATGAATGGACCCGTTGCAGCTAGGAATCAAGTCTCACATCAAGGTAACCTCTTGTATCTGCACGTGAAGGTGACTGTTGTTTGGCACCTCGGTACATTTAAAATGAACTGTGTAGTTAGGTCGTCCTTGAAGCGAACAGTCATGAGCGAGTTGGTTGTTTGCTATTTTTCTTGCTTCAGGTTTCGAAAAATGTTGTAACTTTTACTGTAAAAAGAGGAAGGGAGTTTTCTCAGGCTTTGGGATTGTAGGGCGTTAAATGTTTTGATAATGCATATCGATTTCCATCAAGTCTTGAAGTCGTCAATCAAGGAATTTACAGCTTTCCTTTCTAGGAGGCCTTCATACTTAGTAAGATTATCACCTATTATATAAGTCATTCCTGTACGAAATTTGCGCGATTTTGGTTTCCGTAGCTTGGAAGAGAAATATCTTTGCATAGTTGTGTCGCGCAACTTGCTACTAGCAAGGAGTTTTTCTTGTGCCGAAATTTTAGAAAAGTTCACACTGTTTAAGTGTTTGGTTCTATACTCTGAAGCTCAATCTTAGCATTCATTGTAACCCTATCGATCGTACCATCATATTCGAAGCAAGTTCGCAGCACCCATTTCGTCTCATTGCGAGTGAAACTCAACGCAAGAGCACTCTGTTTGCTGCTTTTCGACTTAGTGTGTACTCAAAAGTTGGGGTGTAACCTGACTCATCAGTCTGCTGCCTTATTTAAATTGTCGCACTTAAATTCCTCTATATTGCTTCAAAGACTCAAAGTAATGTGTAGGCAATATGAGGCTACTTTGAAGGATTATATTCTTCCATGTCGCATTTAGAGTGGATCAGTGTGTTTCAGTGACTTGGGTGAATACCCTTTTACTTTTACTTTAATCAGCAGGGAACTCTCGATCACTTAGGCAGTTTCCTAAACGTCGTTTATTGCCATATCATCATCATTATCAACGTAGGACCAGGCATTACTGCGTAACGGTCCGAGTTGCCACACCTCATATCAGCACATCAAGTAAAAAGGTAGTGAGGTGAAGGATGAAGATAAGTGAATGCAGTCAAAAGAAATATAAAGTACGAGAAGAAAGGAAAGAGGAGTGACAAAATAGTGAGATTCGGTATAGCGTTGTTAAGATGAGGATAATGTGTGTATACATCTGCGCCACTGACTTCGGTTCTGAGCCATATCACCTAGGGTCTCCAACCACTGGTTCCTCTTGTCCCGTGGACCCCAACCACCTAGTCTGCATCGTCCTACATGGCTTAAACCAACAGTCAGAGACTTCATACATTGGTGCCATGTTTTAGTCTGGCCACCTCGGGCCTTTTTCCAGCCTGAACCCACCTCAGCCAACATTGTGTGACGAGGCAATCGGTGACTAGGCATACGTAGTACGTGTCCCAACCATCTCAGTCGATGAAGGTTCACAACCTCGTCGACTGACTTACCTCTTCTCCCAAAACTCTACACCTAACTTCTGCATTACTCACATGGTGACACCACGGAATACGTCCTATACTACGAAGGCAACGGTGGTCAAACACCTGAAGCCCTTTTGTATCTCCACTTTCAATGGCCATGTTTCACAGCCATACAGTAGAACAGAGCGGACTGCTGTGCAGTACACGCGACCCTTAATAGACAAACGAATATCACGGCGGCGCCATAGGTGGCGCAAATTGGCAAAAGCCAATCGAGCCTTTTGTATCCGTGCAGAAATCTCATCGGCAACTAACCCACCGGGTTGATCCTACTTCCCAGGTAAGTGAAGTGGTCAACACACTCAACCACTTCACTCTCTATTGTTAACCGCGGTACCGCTGAAGACCAGTCCTGGAGCAAAAATTTGCATTTGGGTGGTGAAAATCGCATCCCAAACATTCTCAAATTCCCACTCAAAGTGTTCAGAAGACTCTGCATCTTGTCAGCGTCTTCACCTAACAGGACTATGTCATCTGCATATTCTAGATCTAAGGAAAATTCACCTGTGATCGGTCAACGTCTTTGTAATTAGGTGACGAGAGGGAAACCTCCATAAGAATATCTATGATAAAATTAAATAAGAATGGGGATAGTGGGCATCCTTGACGGACACCACTTGATGAGTATAGCTCCCTGGACAACTCACCATAGGCTCTAACATGCCCACAAGTGTTCGAGTAGAGAGCTTTCAATAAGGTGATGTACTTACTAGGCACGCCTTTCAGTGACAGACACTGCCATAAGACTTCTCGATCAACGGAGTCAAATGCCGCCTTCAGGTCGAGAAATACAGCTATTGTCGGGCGTCTGTAAGCATGCCTATGTTCCAGGACCTGGCGCAGTGTGAATATTTGGTCGATACATCCACGGCCAGGTCTAAAGCCTGCCTGGTTTTCTCGGGCTTGCTGTTCCCGAGCTCCACTCAGGCGTCGGAGAATTATAGAACTTAGGATCTTAGACACTATGTTTGTCAGGCTGATTCCTCTGTGGTTATCACAAGAGGACTTCTCGCCTTTCTTGAAGACTGGGATGATGAGTGACTTAGACCAGTCGGAGGGGATCGTATTTGATTCCCATATACTGGCTAACACTTCCGTTAGCCTGACTAAGAGAACTCTACCACCATTCTTGTATACCTCAGCAGGTAGTCCGTCTGGTCCTGCTGCCCTTCCCCGTTTCAGGCTACCTACCGCTTTCTCAACTTCTTCTAGTGTTGGGGGACCTGTCTCTATGTCCCATTCAGGGTCCGACTGGATAGCGGGCAGCGCAATGGTGGCTGGAGGCCAGTTAAACTGTTCCTCAAAGTGTTCTGCCCATCGTCCCAGTCGCCTTCCCTGCGAGTGAATCGCCGATCCGTCCTTCTCCGCTATAACCTCACTAACTGTTGTTGACCATTTCCCCCCAGTCTCCTTAATAAGTCTAAATAACTGTCTACTGTTACCGATCGCCGCTGCCTTTTCCATCTCTTTAGCCTTTGCTGCCCACCACTGTTCACGATCGTTGCGCAGACTTTTCGTCAGTTTATTTTTAAGTTGCGCTCGCTCTTCATTGTACTCAGAGCCTGCAGGGATGCATTCACGTGCATCCATTAGTTTGGAAGAAGCTGCTGATATCCACTGGCTCTTTTTAGCCATTATCTTGGAGTCGGCTACAGTCTCCAGTGCTGCTTTTACAGTAGACTGAAGATGGCACCAAGCTTCTTCTGGATGAGTGACAGTCTTTTGTTCCGATAACTGCCTAGCCAACTTCTCACTGAACACGGCTTTGGTGTTTTCGTTGTCCAGCAGAACTCGTAGTGGTTTTGTTGCCAAATTTTTTCTACGTCCATTGAGACGCAGGCATATACGTGCTCGGACCAACGCATGATCGCTGTCCAAACACGTACTCCAGAAGGAGCGGCAGTCTTCCACCGATCCTCTCCAGCGATGACTAATAGCAATGTGGTCTATCTGTGTCCATCGCTGAGTCGAGCTCGGTGGACGCCAGGTCAGACAGTGCCTTTCTTTATGTCTGAAATTTGTGCTGGCTAAAAATAGGCGGTTATCTGAGCATAGTTGTAATAGGCGATCACCGTTATCTGTACGTTCAGCTGGGATTCCGAAAGTGCCACCTAAGTGCCTTTCTGCCTCACTCAGTCTACCCACCTGTGCGTTGAGGTCACCTGCAACAACCACTACGTCCGAACGTTTGGCTTTCGAGAGGAGGTTAGACAGTTTATGGTAGAACTCGTCCTTCACTTCATCCGAACTACAGTCAGTGGGTGCGTAAGCAGAGATTACAAAGAGACAACGGCGAGTCTCACTATTCCTTTTAGTTCTCACTGTGCCGTTCAGCCTCATAGCGCAGAGGCGACTATCAACTGGGATCCAGTCTAGTAGTGAGTTTTCTGCCCTGGTGCTTAATGCTATACCTACACCTGCAAGACCACGAGAGCTAGCTATCGAATCTCCAGAAACTCGAAGGGTGAATTTTGCAGATTCACCAGATTGGTCAGGAGAGGTCAGGTGAATAACCACACTTGGGTCCTGTATGCGTGTCTCACAAACACAGCACACATCCATGCCCGAGTTGCTAGAGTCTTTGCCAACGAAGCCTGTTGGCCAATTTGACGGAGGGTGCGGACATTGAAGGCTCCAATATGTAATTTGGAGCGTGGTTTAAGGAGACCAGGGATGCTGTTCTGTGGACTCAGATCGTTGTCGAAGGCTGCAGAGGTAGGAGAAATTGAAGATGATGCAGCATCATTAATTAAGAGACGTGAAGGAAGATTAGAAGGTAATGATGGAGGAGGAGGATAGCAGTCAGAAGAAACTTGGGTGCTGACAGAGTTGTGAGGGCGGTTGACACTTCCCGGCTGCCCACACCGTGGAAGGCTATTTCTTCTTAAGGTACCTGAAAGAGATTTGTGTGACCGCAGAGCCCATCGGACATCTGCTTGAGGCCTGTCACACCCAGCCTTTTGAGTATGATTATTTTGAATTTTTGTATTTTTGGGGCCGGATGGTCGAAAGGAAACGACAAGTGAACCAACACCGCCGGCCCGGCAGACCGTGGGGCGTGGTGGAGTGTGTTATTTTTGGGGCCGACCTTTTCTAACCCCCCCTTCCACTGAGAAGGCAGCATCAGCTTGGCACTGCTGGTCATCCAAGGGAAACACCTTACTGCTGTCACACCCCATCCAGCTAGCAGCAGTACGACTTCGCCCTCAGACCCCCATCATAGTGTAGCAATTTACACTATAACGGTAACTGCTTTTCGTCTAACCACTACCCAACAGACCTTTCTGGTATGGTAGGACCTCGAGGGAACAAGCGTTCCACCAGCATAGCTCGTTGGGTCATTGTGATATGCAAGCCCGACCACCACGTCAAGGTAGCAGCTATATTGTAATTTCCTTCCAATTCTGTGTTAAGACTAGGAAG